TGAAGCTACTTTACTATACGTTTCTATACAGTTCTATACCATGCTATACTTGCTGCTTTTGAAAAGGAAAAAGGACTATACATCACGCTGATGCCGAAGCAAGCGCCCACTCATACACTAGTTCGGGCTAAGAGTGACTCAAAGGTTCGGACTGCCCAGAGAACGCAGCAGCGACCCCTAATCAACATCCCGTGAGACGCAAACCAGTAAGTTTTGACGTGATGCATAAGGTGTATCCCGACATCCGCATGCAGATGCCATATGACCTATGTAATGAACCGCCTGCCCGCTACTCTCAGCATCCTCGCCACGGTCTCAGGGCTGAGGGTTTAGGTTTGGAGGATGTTGGGGCGGGAGGTCTAGGTACGCCGTAAACCCTAAGACCTACCTTAATAAGTAGAATACTGCTTTGGCGTATATTGTACTGTCATTATAAGAAGTTAAGAAGGAACCCCCAATATAGTGTAGGTAATTATCGTAAGGCCTCTATGTATTACCTAACCTTTGAGCCCCAAACCCTTGCCGCCAAGCCTCTTGCGCGGCATCCTTTGTGCCGTCGGATCGAGCCTGTGCTCGGGTCCGCACTTTCCTCGGCTTAGGGTTTAGGGTTAAGGGATGAGAGAAAACTTTTTTTGCGCAACCTGCCCAGCTAAAACATGTCGCGCAGCCATGCAGAGACTGGAATAGAATCAGAAGTACGGGACTGTAATCAACAGCGGAACCGCTCGCAGAAGGTCCCTCTGAGGCCTGCAGAGACTGCGACGGAGGCTATAAAAGCCTAAATCCTAAACCCGTAAACCCTACAAAACCCTAAACCCGTAAACCCTAAACCCCATAAAGAGTAGCCAAGCGATCCCCCTCCACAACCCCTGGAAATCCTCACAGAATCCAGCCACAACACCGCCCAGCCCAAAAGCCAGTTGAATCCAACTGACGACTCTCAACTAATGTCTAGGTTTAGTGTAGGGTCGAAGGCAAGGGATCAGATCCATGAGAACCCCTCCGCAGGAATCGCTGTACTAAAACATAGATATAGTAGGTTCAGCTCCATGAGAACCCCTCCGCAGGAATCGTTGGACTAAAGTATCGTAAGTTACTAGTGATCTTCAGGCTTCCCTCACGCGAATCGATCTAATTAGTCTGTTCACTCAGTGTCTGAGAAGCCCCCACTGCAGGCCCTTCTTTATCAAGACTGTGCTGTGATCCACTGAAAAATAAAAGCCAAATTCAAGTTGGAGACCTCAACGCACATAAAGACAGCTGATGGGGCAACCTGTTTGTCAACATCATACTGACCATCATATTCATGTTTCAACATCAACATCAGCATCGCCGTTCAATATCGTAGAGACAAGAAACGCGGTGGGGAGCCCGACCGAGGCAATGCAGTAGGAACCAATCTCTGCTCAAACCGAAGCAATCGGCACGGACCCAGCGACTAAGCTTGCACTTCTTGCAAGCATGCATCAGAATCGTCCAGAGTGCCTTCAACGCGGCCAGAATCAACATGCGAGCTGCTTACATTGAGGACGAGAAGTTTAGCAGTTGAATGTCTGGATCGACAATATGACTGGGACGATCTCCATTCACGCTGCCTCTGAAGCTATTATTTGTACATGTTCGTGTGCTCTGTTGTTCGTTGATCTTTCAAACAACCACACACCTGGTCCAAGAGGCGAAAGGTCTTGCAGCGAACCAGCTCAAACGCACCAGAGCAGTTTCACAGCATTAATAGACACAGCTGTATCCCTGCGCCCCTTCTTCGTAGCATGAACGTGATGTGCATCACATTGCCTAGATGCCACTCGGACCCATTGACCTTCGACACTCTCTCCCAGTCCTGCACGCTGAAAGCCCATAAACTATGGCACGCAGACCCTATGTACGACTCTATAGTGAATCCGATAAAAGCCCAGTACAGACCTCATAGAAGCCTTAACGGAGCTCTAACTCATTCCTAAATAGGCCCTCAATCCAAGCGAAAAAGCCCGCGGCACCTGCAGGCCATGACGAACCTTGCCTGGGCAGTGCGTGGTTTGCAGGTCATGGGTTGCCTTAAACAACCAGGGTGCTGACAGAGTGTAGGGTTCAGAGCTTTCAGCTGAGAACCCCTTTTGCAACGGCCTTGTCAGATCTCGACCGGACCCCCTAAACACTAAACCCTAAACCCCTAAACCCTAAACTTGAACTCTTGGAGCCAGGGCTTGAGAACCCAAGGATGACTGGATCCTCGGTGCTCACGAAACTTCAGTGCCATGGAATCTGGGGTTTCAGGCTTGGGGTCCTCAAGTAACCCGTTTTCTACGCGTGAAAATAGCGTAGCTGTGCTGAGGGATTCAAAAACTCTCGAAAGCTCCGGCAACTGGCGCTGATGCTACTAACTACCAATACTAGCACACTACTACGACACTGACGACTACTAGCAGGCACATACTCATCCTCATCCTCATCCGTCGATCTTGCGAAATCTTAGGTATTGGTAGTACTATGCACATTACTACCATTAGTCATTGTTCTTACTACCCTAAACCCTAAACCCTAAACCCTAAACCCCTTTCATTGTAGGACTCATAAGGTTTCGAGGCTCTTCACCAGAAGCCGCAAAAGAATTCTCCAGCCCCACAACCCCCGAAGTCCCGAAGCCAGTCCTTAAACCCTAAACCCTAAACCCTAAACCCTTTTTCACAAGGGACTCTGC